AAAAAAAAAAAAAGATTATCCTAGACATATATTAATTATTGCAAATAAGGGAAACCATGACACCTATGTTTCTTTGGGCCTGGCTTACTTCACCTAATATGATTTTTTCCAAGTCTTTCCATTTCCTAAGAAATGGGGCAGTGTCATTCTTTCTGATGGAGGCATAGAATTCAATTGTATATTAATGTATACACACACAAACACACACACACACACACACACTACATTGTCTTGATCCATTCATCTATGAGGGTTATCTGGGTTCGTTCCATATCTTAGCTATGATAAATAATGCTGCAATAAACATGGTTGTGCTGATAGCTTTAGTATGGCCTTGTTTGTTATCATTGAGGTAAGTGCCCAGAAGTAGGATTGCTGGGTCATAGGGAATCTCTATGTGGAGTCTTCTGAGGAACCTCCAAGCTTCTTTCCAGAGTGGTTGAACAAGTTTACACTCCCACCAAGAGCAGCATCCTGCCTTCTAACAACACACGTTGCTTTAGGTTGTTGGGCTTACATAAATGAAAAGAAACAGCATGAATCTTGGTGTTGTGACTTCATTCATTCAATTTCATCTTTCAACACTCATTCAAGTTTTTGTCATTGTTATAGTTTAGTATCATTCTCATCCTTTAATATAGTATTATATGAATATATCACAGTGTTTTATTCATCCTTGATGTGGGGTTTTCCTGTCTGGGCTATCATAAACAGTGCTTTAAATATGTCTCTGGAAGAACATGTGCATAATGGGGAGGGGAAGATATTTATATTGTATATTGCAGAATAAAAAATTTCCTTTACTTGGCACTAGTGGCTCATGCCTATAGTCCTTGCTATTCAGGAAACTGAGATCTGAGGATTGTGGTTCAAAGCCAGCCTGGGTAGGAAAGCTATGAGACTCTGATCTCCAGTTAACCACCAAAGGAAAGCAGAGTAGAGCTTTAGCTCAAGTGGTAAAGCATTAGCTTTGAGCAGAAGAAGCTGAGGAATAGTGCCTAAACCCTGAGTTCAAGGCCCAGGATTAGTTCACGCATGTGTGTGAGTGCGTGCGTGCATGGGCACACACACACATACACACATACACACACACACACACACACACACATTTCCCTTGATCCTAATAACATATAGAGATCAATACTTGTTCACTCTCAGCATTTGGATGAGTAAAGAATTTGGAATTAGTTGGTCACTGGTGTCTCATAATCCTAGCTATTCAAGAGGCTAAGATCTGAGGATCACAATTTGAAGCCAATCTGAGCAGAAAAGGCCATGAGACTCTTATCTCCAATTAACCAACAAAAATGCTGAAAGTAGAGATGTGGCTCAAGTAGAAGAGCACCACCACCCTTGAGCATAAGGCCAAGTAAGAGCTTGAAGACCTGAACTCAAGCCCTAGCTACAGCACAAAAGAGAAAAGAGTTTGGCATCATTTGGGTAGGCTAGTTCTGTCCCAAGCTCATTCCTGAAGGCTATCCTGGGTGTGGAGGATATGCTTTCAAAGCAGCTTCTTCACAGGCGGAGAAAGTTAAAAAGAAAGGAATCCACTGGGAAGAGAAGCTGCAGTTTTTCTACAGGTGAATTTTCCCTAAAACGGAGTGCTCTCATGCCAGTGGCTCATCTCCCAATGGCCCTGAGGGAGCAGTCAGAGAAAAGTATCAAACAGAAACTGTATCCCATATGATCTAGCTTTGCAGGTTCTGTAATGTCATTTCTACTTCACTTGCTCATTGGAAAGGAGCCTCAGAGTCTAGTCCACACTCAGAGCCCCTCCTTTAAAAGGAGGGGTTACCAAAGAAGGTATGAACATGTCTTAAAACCTCGAACTGTTTTAAAGCTTAGAATTAATCGTGCTGCGTCTAGTTTTATATGTATAAGATGTTAGTGACCTGTGTAATATTAAGACTAATATCATAGGTACTTTTTCTGTACAGTAGTCAAAGCAAATATTATGAATGATTGCCTTAAATATGTTAGAAAGCTATGTCAGGATCTCCATCTATCTGTAGTCTTTAGATTCAGTTAAACAACACAGCACGTTATTACATGGTCTTTGAGTGGCAAATCACACACATTTTATCACATTTTCACATATATATTGTTGCAATTTGAGAATATATGCATATAGTTTAAAACTGATTTGATCTCTTTACTAACAAAAGATGTAAGACACAAAAAGCAAAGTTAATATACATTCATATAAGGATCACAAAGAAATATATTAAATCTGTCCTTTGTACTTCTAGGCACTTAAAGTTTTGTGAATAATTATAGGACAGCTTTCAAAATATTTCCTTGAGATAATTTCTACCATAGGAAGGACAAAAGCTTCAAAGTCAAATGTAGCCAGGTTTGAATTCGAGATTCACTGCTTATTAATTTGGGATTCTTAGGCAATTTGGTTCTTGGATACTCAGATTCCCTCAACTATGAAATGAGAAAAATCAATGGAGTCTTTCTCTTCCTGGAGATAATTAAATGGGATCATATGTTTATTCGGCCTTTATGATGGCAGGTCTTATCTATTTGCTCATTTATGATAAACTCATTTATTGTCTACATTAACTACCTAGAAATTCTATGATAGACATTTAGAGTCAAACAAACTAATTCTATCACAGGCCTACTTTCAGAGTTATATACTCTAGCAGAGCCCTTGACAGGTAAAACTATAACACCATTGTGATGATTGGTGTCTAAAGAAGATGTAAAGGTAATACTTTGAATATGGATCAAGTTAGTATATGTAGAAATAAAAGAAATTTTGAGGCATAAGGAAAAGACAAAAGGTATTCCAAATTAGGGGGTAGATCTTACATAAAGATGGAGCTACGAAACCCAGGAGCCAGTGGCTCCCTCTGTAATCCTAGCTACTCACCAAGCTGAGATCTGTTCCCAGGTAGGAGCAAGCCTGGACAGAAAAGTCAGTGAGGCACCATCACCAATCAATCAACAAAAAGCCAGACTATGGTCATGGCTCAAGTCATATAAACAAGCTGTATCCTGGATTTCAAAGCCTAGTACAGAAAAGGTAGATGGATGGATAGATATTGCTACAAATATGACTAATCATCCTACAGATGAAAGGAACTTGGAGAGATGGGCCTGGAAGAGTTACATGTTAAAATAGTAGGGGGGAAAGATGAGAATGTACATTCAGTTTTACAGTAATGAAAATCATTAGGGAAAAAAAAGTTAACAAATTTTGAGGGCTGGCTACAAGATAGACGAGCCTAGCTACCAAAGGAAGTATTGCCATGGTTGGGGGGGGTGTTGTTTTTTTGTTTGTTTGCTAATTCCTATTTGCAGAACATTTGTGTCTTAGACTGTAAACAGAACTACCATTGAAAACATGTCTGAGTCAGAGCCCAGGCAACTGAGCTTTGTCCTTATCACTCCCATTTTGAAGGCTGCATCAACAGGGAAGTGTAGTGGGGCTGTTTTATATAGGCCCTTGGCTCACCATAAATATACTTCTCAAGATGTGGCCATTTAGAACTGGCCAATTCATGCACTCAACTCATCTGTGTATTTGACGTCCATGTCCAGATAATGAGCTACTCACTCCACTTATTTCCCTTCAAGAAGACTGATCTATTTAGCAGCCTCCACTCCGGTTACATTATCCAGTCCCAGGCAGCGATGATATGTCTACATAAGACAGAGACATTTCTGTGCTATGATGGAAGTTTTGAAGGAAGTTGGAGCCAGTGACCTTTCACTTTGAAGCCAGTGAATAGCAAGCACAATTTTTTCAGTCTTGCTAAGAATGGAAACTGGAAAAATTAGCAGAAAGTTTAGGCTTTCTAGCCACTATTCAGTATATGATACCCAATCTGTGTCTCATCTAGCTAGCATTCCACCCTTCTGCTAGTGAAGTTTACATGTTCCATCAAAATCAATGTACTTGTAAAAGAACTGGTCATTCTGTAGATAAACATTAATTGTCCTGTTTTATCACTTTATTTGCTTTATTTTAAGTGAATTCTAAGAGCATGAAGGGGGAAGATAGATTCTTGTCTTAGGAGAAAATTCCTAGCCAGTCTAGAACTAGAATTTCTCACATTCCCAATTAGGAGTTTTTATGGTATTAGCAATTTCCTGGAAATTATTCTCTGCACAGGAACTAAGACAATCTTCTCTTTCTCTCCCCCTCCTCCCTATCTCCCTGACTCTCTCCCTCTCTCCCTCTCTCCCTCTCTCTCTCTCTCTCTCTCTCTCTCTCTCTCTCTCTCTCTCTCCTCTCTCTTCTCTCTCTTCTCTCTCTGATTTCTTCTCAGGTGGGAAATTGGCAAGTGGAGTCCATGTAGTCTTACCTGTGGGGTTGGCCTTCAGACCAGAGATGTCTTCTGCTCCCACTTACTTTCCAAAGAAATGAATGAATTGGTAATCCTGGCTGATGAGCTGTGTCACCACCCCAAGCCCAACACAGTACAAGCTTGCAACCGTTTCCATTGCCCCCCAGCCTGGTATCCTGCACAATGGCAGCCGGTGAGTCCTCAAGTTACTCAGTATTGGAGCTCTTGTTTCACATAGCAATTTTTCCACAAAGGACACTTTCCCATAGGAATTTTGTCCTGCTAAAGAAATGTTCAGGTTCTGCTATCTGCTATCCCTCCCTTCTTATTTTTCTCCCAACCTTCTTCAAATATATAGAGAGAGATAGAGAGATAGATATAGATATAGATAGATAGATAGATATCATACACTTTTTACTATACCACACCAGTCATCTACAAAAGCAACTCAAAATACCCATCTGTTACCCTGAGCATATTCTCAACACAGTTGTCACCAAGTTAAGAAAAAAGTTTTTTAAAATAGACAATTTGGTGAGGGGTTTTTTCCTATAAAGGTAGATTGATTCTGAAATATGCCTTTGGATGTTTTTATTATTTCAAATTCTAAGAAATTAGAATATGAGGTAGTGCTTTTTAAAAACTACATCATTACTTAGTAAAGTGGGCTAGAAATCCTGAGTCAATTTCAGTTTCTCTGGTCTTCTGATTTCAAAAAGTCTAACAAGTGTTGTTTGAAAACAGGAGTTAGCACACTGCTGCCCATGCATAAATCAAGCCCACAGTCTTTTTGTAAATAAAGTTTTATTGGAACATGGCCACGCCCATTCTTTTACATACTGTCTATAGAAGCTTTTACATTACACAGGCAGACTTGCAATTTTGTAGCTGTGACTAAGACTAAATGGCTCACAAAACCTAAACTATTACTGTTTTTTCACAAAACAATTAGTTGATTCTACACCAAAACACATGTGATCATCTATTTATATATATATTATAGGCCTATTAAAATTAATATGCATTACTTCCACTTAAAATAACTTTTTGTGTGCCTTTAAAGAGCACAAGAGGCCAGGTGCTGGTGGCTCACCCCTGTAATCTTAGCTACTCAGGAAGCTGAGATCTGAGGATTGAAGTTTGAAGCCAGACTGGGCAGAGAAGTCCATGAGACTCTTATATCCAATTAACCGCCAGCAAACCAGAAGTGATGCTGTAGCTCCAAAGTGGTAGAGCACTAGCCTTGAACAAAGAGCTCAGGGTCAGCACCCAGGCCCTGAGTTCAAGCCTCACAACCAAAAATAAAAAGAATGGGGCTTGTGAACAGGAGGATTTTAAAATTATTGAATAGAAATCTCATTTTGTTCCTCATTAGGACATCAGGTGGAGCTTTAAAATGACAAAGGTTATAAAAAGTAAGCATGGCAGAAAGAAAGGACATACATCCCTGTGTAAGATTGTTTTAAACTCTAGAAGTATCCTAGTTTCAATGGCAAAATTATACAGTTACCCCCACTGAGGAGAGAGAATAGCAATTTACCCTTTCCTTATTGCCTAGTCTAAAAAGTCCTCCATACTCTTCCTCCCTTTTCCTGTCCATCTTGGGACTGTGGTTTAGTAAAGACTCAAAGGTGAAAAAAGAGCAAAACAGAACTATGATCAGCACATGGTATCTACAATTTCTACATCCATATACTCAATCAACCCCAGACTGCTACTTATTTAGGTCTACAATGCTTACCATCTGTACTGAACATGAATATACTTCTTTTCTGTCTTAATTCCCTAAACCATATAACAAATATTTACATTGAATTTACATTTTATTAGGTATTATATATTTATATATAAATACCATGCACTTTCTACTGTTCGACACCAGTAATCTCCAAAAGCAACTTAAAATACTCTGTTTTACCCAGAGCATGAAATCTAGAGATAACTTAAAGTATACAGGAGAATATATAATGATTATATGCATCATTTGATATACAGACCTGAGCATCTATGGATTTGGGTACTAGAATATACCCTTGCAGATGCTGGGGAGCAAATATATAAAGCAGCTAGAGACAGACATTGATGAGAAGATTTTTCTTTTAGAGCTTAAATGTATCGTAGCTAAATTCATCAATACCATCCAACTCTGTATTTTGTTTGTAGAAGCCAAGAGAATGAAGTATATTTTCAATACCTACATACCAGTACTTTACTAAGAAATATACAGTATTCCAAACCTACTTGAAGTCAATTCTCATACCAAATCAGTGAAAAAATAGGCTTTGTCATCCTCATTTAGAGGAAATTAGGGTACACACAACTAGCAAATTTAGGGGTGGTATCAACCCACTTTAATGTAACCTTACCAAGCCTTAAGTTGTATTGTTAAAGGAGGCTTTCCTATGAACATCTTATGAGGTCCATTGTCCTATGGATTATATAACTAAGGACTACACATAGTCTTACACAAAATTGTGCAGCTTGGACCCCAATCCAAGTTTCCTGATTCCTAGTGTGTTTATACTAAACCTCATCTAATTAGAATAAACCATTGACCTTGAACTCTGCTGCAGATCCAAGCCAACCTTAAGAAAGGGTGAGGAGGGGCTGGGAAGGTGGGTCAGTGGTAGAGTGCTTGCTTTGCATGCATGAGGCCCTGGGTTCAATTCCTCAGCAACGCATAAGCAGAAAAAGCCAGAAGTGGCACTGTGGCTCAAGTGGTAGAGCACTAGCCTTGAGCTGAAGAGCTGAGGGACAGCACCTAGGCCCAGAGTTCAGGCCCCACAACCGACCAAAAAAAAAAAGGGTAAGGAATCAGTTCCATACAACCTATACTGCCCTGCTGAATTGTTAAATCCCTATATTAGTGGGAGCTTTCATTGTCACTTCATACAGAGTGCATTATGGGTAGACATTTATTCTATGACAAAATTAATGAGAAGAGAAATAATACCTCTCACCAGGCTCTGAAATTCTGGTTTGTAGCTTATTGACAGGTTTGTTTCTGGTTATGGGTCATAACAGTGGTGATATCCAGGACCCTCAATATCCTAATATGGTGCCAAATTAAGTTCTTGATGTGTGATGCTTTTCCAGTCTTTCTAGCGCATACATAGCCTTGTAGCCGTCACTAGCCCCACATCCAGTATCCCTTTTGAGTTACCCAATAAATCACTAGTGGTTCCATTTTCCATCTACCTTGTTGGTGATGTCATGAATATTGTGTGTGTGTGTGTGTGTGTGTGTGTGTGTGTGTGCACGTGCGCGTGTGTGCCAGTTCTGGGGCTTGAATTCAGGGCCTGAAGGCTGTCCTTGAGCTTCTGTGCTGAAAGCTAGCACTCTATCACTTAAGCCACAGCTCTACTTTCAGCTTTTTGCTGGTTAATTGGAGATAAGATCCTCAAGGACTTTCCTGCCCAGGCTAGCTTTGAACTACAGTCCTGAGATCTCAGCCTCTTGAGTAGCTAAGATTACAGTTGTGAGCTACCAGTTCCCTACATCATATAAATTTATTTTGAAAGTTTTTGCCATTGTATTGCACTAGTGAAAAACCTCTGGGATGAGACAGTCTCCTGATTTTTCAATCAAGGAAATAATGCAAAAACAATACTTTCAAATCTGTCCAATGAGGCGTCAACACTATAGGAAGACCTTTACAAGTATCTCTTATGTACCAATACATAATAATTATGAAAATATTCAAACATTATAAGGAAAAAAGAATGTTAGAAAGGAAAAAAACACCTACAGAGAAAGCCCCGGTTAATCGTTGGTGCAGAGTTTGTTCTAAGGATCCTTCATCACTTCTAGGAGTTTCTCTAAACCTGAAGGAAATAGTAGACTATTTCATTTCAAAGAATCCTTTTTTAAATTGGTTTATTGTCTTTAAGTAGTTGTATAAAGAAGTCAGCATTCAACAAACTAGTTTACACGTAAAATGCATCTTCACCATTTCCCCCATCCCTCCTAGCCCCTCCCCTCCCCTCAATTTTCCTAGTTTCATAGGATATGCAATGAATATTGACTGCATTCTTCCCCTTTTCCTATCTTCATTCATCTTCCGTCTTCATTCATCTCCTCTTTCCCCTTTACCTCCCCCTCCACCTTTCAGGGGTAAATTTTCTGGTATTCTTTGTTGGGGGGGATTGTGAGTTTGTTTTCTAAGGAATTATCACATTTGGATTCTCCCCTGCAGTTATAACATTCTGGTTAATATATTTGTTTTTTGTAAATATCAAGTTGTGAGGAAATCTGACAACACAACATATAAAATCTAGTGTCTGTTATCTATATTATCCTTGGCTTTCATCTGTGTATTCCTTTCCTTTGGCTGCTGTAACAAATTACCACAAACTCAATGGCTTAAGACAATACAAATTTACTATTTTGAAGCTCTTCAGAAGCTAAAACTCTGTCTTGCCAGTCTGAAATCAAGGGGTGGGCAGGTCTTTGTTCTTCCTGGTGTAAGAGAATATGTCCATGGGTCCCATGCATTGAGACACAGGCATGGCCTACAGTCTGTTCTACTGTGGACTGACAAAATACTTAGGCTGTGCCAGCACTCAGCATTTTCTACCACTGTCTATGGCGCTGTGGCCATCCATTTTTCCTTCATGTGTTTGTATTACAAAAGTTAAATTTTAAAAGGGTTAAATGGAATTGAATTTGTCCACTCTGGACCATAATTTATGTTGTCCTAGACTATGGGTGTTTTATATTCAGGATTATATCTACCCAGCTGTACATACATACTGCACACATCTGTGCTAAGACAGAAGCAATCACCACAACCCCTAGACACCATCTACCCTTGGGTTAAAACTCATTGGGTTGGCATTTTACCATAAATGCTTTTTTTTAAAAATCAGAGTCACAGTTCAAAATGAATATAGTTTATTGTGTAAAAAAGGAATATAAGAAGTTAATCTCTGATGGTAATGTGAAGTAAAAATCTTAATCATAAGAATTTTAATGACAACTGTAAGTGTAAATTGAGGAATAAAAATTTGACTTTCTAGACTTAAATGCACATGTTTGCATGTGTGTACCCCTGCGCACACACACACACACACACACACACACACACACAAATAACTTTTGGATATATGAGGTGATGTGGTTGCAACATCTGTTACCCCACGGATTGCTAACGTTGATTTAGCTGATCTGGGTGGCTAGGCAGGTGCCCCAATA